CTCTATTAAATATTCTGCCCATCATTTTGACAGCTTTAAAATAAATCGATTTTTTGGTATCTGATTTTAATCTAATGAAAGAAAAACGAGAAAACGCCAAGGGGGGGAACGCTTTTTTTAACAAATGTTTTCTAATTTTAAATTTAAAACAAAACACTGACTGAGTTTGTCTATGAACATACTGTGGTACTTGTCATGTAAGGTATGATTTGATTGCTTTGAAGCTTGAGTTATAATTGATATCCGTTTGGAATTACATATAGGATATTTTTCACTAATTTTCAATTACATCGCTGCATTTATAAAACCCCTCAACAAATCAGAAAAGATCTAATACTGATAAGATAAGAACGTTTCAGCAAGTTGAAGTACCGGATAAGATAATATTTATAATTGATCGATGAACATGAATTTGATTTACCATATGTCTTGTCTTTTAAGCACCAATGCAAACCGCAGACGAATCTGACAAAAGTAAAAGTGAAATTATAGATAAAACATAGTACCAAAGACCAGGAAAGCATGACATATAGGATGAGGGATCCTAGTACATGGAACTGCGTATGAATTTTATACCAAACATTGTAGTTCTATGTTAAGTTATATATCGTATTCTCTATACGTAATAATTGGGTTTATTAGATATAGTTACTTATAAACCTGCAGTTAAAAATCATTTATTGAACTTTTCTTTTGAATATTTGTATTATTTTTTTTCTAAAATAATCAAGGATGTTAATGTTTTATTTTGTTTAAAAAAGTACATGATAACACGATTTTGCTATGTTTATAATAGACAGCTCTTGTAACAGAGCAGTGAGACAATTTTGACGTTCTCATAGAGGCTTGAATTAAAAATTTACGAAAGATAAACAATTATTTACAAAAAAAAGACTCGTAAGTCAGAGAAAAACTGACAACGCCATGGGAAAAAACAAAAGACATCGAAGAAACAAACATGTCCACAAAACACTAAATAGAAAACTAATGACTGTTCAACACATACCCACCAAAACCTGAGGTTGATCTCAGGTACTCAATTGACCAATGCAGACACTATTGGTAATCTTTGCATAACCAATGCAATCCAGAAAGTCTTTTTATTGTTGTTAGCTCAACATCCAGTATGGATATTTTCGTGCATATATGGGGATAAGAACAAATGAACAATAGATATAATAGGTACATGTATGTATGCAACTGGCCATCCAAAAACCCTTCAAACAGTTGTTTCAACGTTTTTCAACGCGCCCATTTACTACACTAGGTTGAGGATTTAACGTCCCTGATTCTGACTGGACGTTTATATGTATAGGTCTGGTATATCCCGCATAGCCAAAATGAAAGCCCTACCTCTCCCAGAAATTCCTACCCAGGAAGGGTGAACAGTTCGTCCTCAATTGTAGTACTAGTCTAATTTAGGACTACATAGTTTTCAGCACAGACAAACGTCGCTTTGATTGAAATGCATAAACAACTTACATTTAGGTATTTCGTTATATATTTGATTTCTTCATCCAAGTTTTCTTAGAATTCGTTAAACAAGTTTACAGTATTTATCATGATACCGGGAATGACTATCCAGCTTAATGGTTCTAGAACCACGACTGTCAAACAAACCAGAATTACTATGTATCGTGTTATATGGTATGGATAATTGGACAAGAACATATGGAATAAGTAAATAAGTTAAAATATTAAAGTAAATTTAATAAAAAATGAAACACACAAAAAAGAAGAAAAAGAGATAGAAAACGGGTTGGGGAATTTCACAAGCACTTTTGGCTTCTGAAAGCAAGGATACGACACGTGACTACTAAAACCATGAAAAGTTAGCTGCCTCGAAAATGGAGAGAATAATTAGATTCGTTACTCTGGCGACCTATCATCATGATGAAGACTGTTTCCCATTGATACACAAGTGCATCATCAATTAATGGACATATGTTATATGTGAGTGTTTAATGCATCGCTGATTGCAGATTCCTTAAATGAAATACCTGGCAAATTAAACCTATTTTAAAAGAGCAAACGTTTGTGATTTTCTTAAAACTGGTAATGTTTGAAGATTAAAGTTAAAGTGAAGTTTAAAAACAAAACAAAAATAAATGAAATCGAATTTCTCTGCATTTTCTACTGATTTCTTTAATATGAAATATTGTCTTGTTATTTCATTAGATCGCTTTTGCATTATTTCTATGTGTTCATTTACACTGTCGATGGATGTGAAAGGCCATGCATGCTTAATCATAACAATTACTGTCTGATGTAAAATATATGATATATCAAAAATGTTTCTTTTCCCCTATACTTGAACAGATAGAGTCAAAGACCTTTTACATTTCATCAAGACAGATTTCTATTCTATGTATCTTGTGGTATTATTTAATTCCATCTTTCTTCTTCTGTATATTTAAAATATGTATTCGTTTCGAATGATTAAAAAGTGAAAATATTACAGGAATAAATCTCCTTAAAACAACCCTGTGAAAATAGCACCAGCTCTTATTATGTATCCATAGAGCAACCAAACAAAATCACAATTCCCAAAGTCTATGGCAATTAATTTCATGATATTGACCAAATGAGGATATAGGATTTTGAAAAAAGGGGAGGGGTACCAAGGCACCGTTAGGAGTGGGACTCGTAAAATGTAAATGCATCTCTATATATGTAGTTCAATGAGCCCCCACCCCCGACCATTAAATCCGCTTCTGTTGAAAACTAACGTCAGGACAACGTTTATTAATTTGTTATTTTTCAAATATTTAGATATCATTTTTGTTAAAGTATTGAATTTTACCCAAAACTTTCCTTGCATTCATCGTCTTGAATATTATTGAAATATTTGCATCTGAACATTCAGTAAACAACAATCAATCAATTCCTTTATTCATAACTATCTTCAGTATCACATTTTTTATCATACTTCCAGTACAGTTAAACGGTTACAATACTCGGGTCTGTTTACCCTACATCCAGTAAATCGGTTACAATCCTCGGGTCAAAAATATCTATGTAATAATTTCACCTAACACGTTACATTACAATGATGTCGTTTAAATGAATATTTTATGGAGTATTTATTAAGATTATGAACGGTTATAAACTCTAATCCTCAATCTTGTCACATACTTACTGAAGAGACTTCTAACAATGGCAAGCTTTGTATAGAATATCTTTATATGTTAAGTAGATGGTTCTCAAGGAAAAAGGTCAAAGCCCTCTTAACCTTTGAATTTACGTGTATAGTAAAGAGGGTGTGTATGATGCTAACTCAGATCATCGTATATTCGAATAACTTATTGATGTTCATGAACTAGGCTTGACATAATTTATGCTCAGATTTATTCAAAGTTAAGATATTACATTATTCAAATTACAACTAAATAAAGGCTTTCAATTTTTGCACTTAAAATATAAAAAATTGTGTGTGTGTAATTGGAACTTGCTTATGATCATCCATATCTGTGCTTTTTGTGAGACCCTTATAATATACACATGTCTTCAGGGATACATAGTGGACTCGATTCGTCCTTAGCAAAAGAGGGGCGAAAGATACCAAAGGGACATTCAAACTCATAAGTCGAAAATAATCTGACAACGCCATGGCTAAAAAAGAAAAAAAAAAACATAGAAAACTAAAGACTGAGCAACACGAACCCCACCAAAAACTGGGGGTGATCTCATGTGCTCCGGAAGGGTAAGCAGATCCTGCTCCACATGTGGCACCCGTCGTGTTGCTCATCTTAGTACAAACCCGATAATAAGTCTAATTTGGTAAGTCACATTCGGGAAAAGGGGACGGGATTGTAGTTACGACATTCGGAACTAATCAGTTATCACCTTTGATACGGATATTCCGTAACGGTCAACCAACTCTTGATGGCGTCCGTAAAATTTACGAAGGGATGATTAGCAAGTAGAGTCGAAAACACGAAATGAACACCCAAGCACGACACACAGAAAACAAGGATACCACTTAAGTGTGTTTACATCTCGACCCTATTTTGTTGTCGAGTTGAAGTCTCATTGACTGTTTCATAATTTCTGTTTACCGGTAGATAGAATATTCAAAACTGTGTTATTCTACTTGAATACAAGTAAATTTTGACTTAATGACAACCTGTTATACAGAGTCAAATTAACTTGCTATCCTAAATTTTGCAATGTCACATATATATTTGTTTGTTATCCGCCAGAGCCTCTAACCTAGCTTATATATCCAAAATAGGCTAAATAATGATTTTGTCGGGGTTTTTACGTTGCACTCGACTTTAAATTAGTCTTAAGTATACCATTCAAGTACTACATCCAGGTCATGCTGTTTGGTTTATAAGCACACAATTATTCGTGATTTTAGGATTATCATTTGCATTGTTAAGGAAACTGTTAAAAACTAACACATTTTCAAGCTGTGGTCATTATGTTCTTCGAGTTTTCTACTGTTAATTGATTATTTCTTGTCCGCTTGTTTAGTACGAAAACAGCAATGCAAAATTATGATAAACGCTGCTGTCCTAAAATAAGAAATATTGAAATGTCAACTATATGTAGCGTTTATTCGAGCAAAATTGGTTTTCTCAGGTTTGAAATCACGTGAAAAAATATTTAATTCATGTCTTAGAAGCTAGTTAATGTGGGAAGCATATTTCATTCTAAATTTACAATACCCATATAAAAATATTTATGCAAGACGAAATCTTTGTAAGATGAATTTCTTGTTCCTGCACATTAATTGCTATACATAAAATTATTAAATACAGAGCAAAACAAGATTATTAAATACAGAGCAAAATAAGATTATTCAAGTTGTAATCAAGATCGTGAAACCGGAATTGTTTATGTTCATTGTTATCCAAATCGACGGAGTAGTTAATTTCTCCTTTTTTTCTTTCTATTAAAAAAAAAAAGACTCGGCTAAAGTCTATACAGAAAAAGAATAGTTTAGACTTTTGTCTACGACCCAATTATGGTGGACACCAGTCTGAGTTTCTTACCTGAGGGTATCCGAGCAGGAAGCTCTCTTAGTCCCTGACATACCACGGAACGTCCAGTTTCATCTGGTTCCGTATTTTGCCACGACTGATCTATATTCCACGAATCAAATAGTCCTCTAGTTGACCTTTGATTAAGGTCCATGCACCGGCACTGTGAAGGACAGGCCTCCAGATGAGCACTGTGGTCTCTGACATACCGTCTCGGGTAGGTATTATATTGGAATGATCCGTGTAAAAATAAAGCCAGACATAGTAACTGTAGCAACTTAGATTTCATTTTTACGGAAAATACGCATTCAACAAATAATTAAGAATTTTTAGTTTTTCCAATTTGATTAAAACACAAGAAGTAATGTTACTATACATCCCAAAAATAAAAACCGTAAAAATGATTCGCCTTCATCAAAATTATCACAGCAAAACACGCACAGCACTTATCCTCAGTTACATCTAGAGCGAACATTATTTTTTCTCGATAATAAGTGTCGGGAAGATGTACTAATAACCTAAGAATTCTAATATCAAGCTTTTCTGTCAATCATGGCGGGAAATCACGCCTACAATTTTCTCCTTCATCTATAAGTGTCTGTATCACATAGTGGTAATGTAATTTACACGGAATGTTATTGGTTTTCTAACAATTCAATTGTAAAACACGTATAATTATATGCTTTGTACCAGTAATAATGAGAAAAGCTACAAAGACCCTACAGAGATTAATTACATGACAACAGGTTTAATTCTTTGTACACATTTCAATCAATTTTTAAAGTTTACGAGACATTTACACTTGTTAGTATCTTATAAGATGTAATTGGAAAGAAATTAAGACGGTTGAAAACACTCAATTAAGTTGTTATTGAACATACATTAGTAAGTCATGATGAAGTGATAAATAGAATTCTAATGGAGTCTTTACACCGATTTGATCGCAGTTTAATGAAAGAGAGAATACAAGAATAAAAGTTTCAAAATTGGAGCAACTTTTTTTAAAGACAGATAATTTCGGTCGAATTATAAAGTGTTATAACATTTCAGTTCGAGATGTTATTGTATTACTTTGCGGTCTACCGCTGGTAACGTAAAACTTGCGTGAACAAAATACAGAGGGATACACATTAGTTAAATAAATAGTAATTGGTAAATTATACTTCTAATTCAGCTAAGTTTCAAGGGTTTTTAACGTGTCATGTATGACTTCAGAACGAGGAATAATTATGCAAGCTATATATAAGATATATTCTGCAAAACTTGTGCATGGAGATAACGGAATATATTCTGCAAACTTGTGCATGGAGATAACGTTACGGTGTGTTCATATGTCCAGTAAATAAAAACACACTCCCAACAACCATAACTGCTAATTCCGTTTAGAGAAGTCAATACTTAAAAAAGTTAATGGATTTATCTACTACAACTCTTGGAGTTTGATTTTTTTTAAGTGAACTCTCATAACAAGGGGTTTTGAACAGATATATCATGTTATGGAGGGGTATTTGCGAAAAAATACCAGTCAAGGGACTGTGAAATTTCCCAAGCCGCTAGGCGAGGGAAATTCAGTCCCAAGACTGGTATTTTTCGCAAATACCCCTCCATAACATGATATATCTGTTTAATTACACCGTATAGCGATTTTGATTAGGTGAAGGGAAATCGTAGTACCGCGGGAATTATACATGTACTTATATATATATATATATATAAATACGCGTTTATTGCTGTCTTTTTGTAACGTCATGGTATCTATGTGTAAACGTCATTGTTATTCCACCATTAAATCGTTCATTTGTATCGACGTCTTTTTTCTACTTTATTTCATGTATAACTCTGACATTTCAGTTTACAGTTTTCGGTTTAACTCAATCAGTAGAGCTTAACCATGCATGATGTTGTCTTAATAATCGGGATAAAGTGAGAAAGGTTCCGAATTATTTTGGCGGGAAGAGGCTCGCGAGGGTAAAAAAGGAATATCCAAAATGGCAAATACCACGGCAGAGAGGGGAATTTGAGGCAAATTCACCGGCAGTGGTGAAAAACAGACACATTCGTTTGAAATGAGGAAAAAATGATAGAATATGCGAAAAATACACTGGCTAACAACCAATCAAAATCCGGCATTCTTATATAAGGTGTAATTAAATTTAATATTGCTTGTAACATGAATTGCATTTATTTCCTTTGACCTTCGATAGAGTTATCTGCTGCTATATAAAGAGGTGTTCATTAACAGGACGTGTTTTATGTTATTGTACTATGGTGAGTATCCTATAAGCTTTGCAATACATTTGTATTTATAGCAGTAAATACATATGCAATAAGAAGGACACACAAAGTTCCTATCGAAATATCAAAAACATGTCGGTATGCTTTGTCTCCAAAATGAACATAAATAGTATCAAGTAAACAATTAATTAATGTTGTTCTATCATTTCTTTCGATGATAAGTTTTTTATTATTGAAAAAAAAATGCAATGTGTTACTGTTTGTGTTTCTCCTATTGCCATTATAAGAACTAAGCCTAGCCATCTTAAACATCGTTGGTTAATCTCATTTGTAATGTTCTACTGATTTTGCCAAATATTTTATATACTGATTGATAGTGAATCGGTCGGTCAAGGATGCTATTGCAGCATATGTCTAATTAACTTTAGAATAGAGAACGGAAACGGCGAATGTGTCAAAGAAACAACAACCCGACCAAAGAGCAGAAAACAGCCCAAGGCCACCAATGGTTCTTAAACACAGCGAGAATATCCCGACCCCGGAAGCGGGCTTCAGCTGGCCCTTAAACAATTATGTATTATACTATTTCAGCGAAATGAACGCCACACTTAACTCAAAAACATACAAATGAACCAAAATTGAAAAACATTTAAGAATAACAAAGGCTAAAGGTTCATGACTTGGGACAGGCGCAAATATGCGCCGGAGTTGAACATGTTTTGTGAGATCTCAACCCTCAACCTATACATCTAGTCAATGAGGGAAAACAAACACACAGCAATATGTACAGTAAAACTCAGTTTAAAAGAAGTCCGAGTCCGATGTTAGAATAGGTAACAGAAGAAACTAAGCAAAATGACAATGATCAACATAAATTAAGAAAGGACTACTAGCAGTTACTGAAATGCCAGCTCCAGACCTCAATTAAACTGTTCGAAAGATTATGTCTTCATCATATGAAAATCAACCACAATCCCTCCCGTTTGGTGTTAAGTATCATGCCATCATAAATTATACGAGAAGAACATAACCTGTATCATGCCAACAACTTGTTTTAGAATAAACGTGTTTATTTCCGATGCAAAGACCCTATGAGGGAATCAATATTAATTCCAAATAAATGCCATCTTTAATGACTTGACAACATGCAGTATCGTAACTATATCCCTTGTGAACAAGTCAGTTTAAATTTATTTTACCGGCTGAAGTTGAAGAAGGTGCAGTATTGGTAAGTTTCGACGTAACCAGTCTTTACACCATTCTAATATGACGTTCTTCAAACGCTTTGAGTACACACCCGTGGTAAAATATGAATATATTGTATGTCAGATGATCGGCAACGTCATGATTTAAATTGTTTGGGATGTTCTGATCATACTCCCATGTCACATGCTTTTTTATGAATGAGCTACCCGACGTCAATCGGTGTAAATGACGTCATTGAACGATGACGTAAGAATATAAAAGGCTGTGAAACAAGTGATCAAAACAAGGAAACATAAACAAACGATGATAAAATATGTTAATAGCCATTTTTTTTTTACATATAGTACAATGTAAGATTATCACTTAAATTCATCCAAACCTATCTAAGTACGTTATTGTGAATAGTTTAAGCATGTCACTAGTTCAATTTTCTCCATTCTTTTACGTCAATATTAGTATTGTGTTTAATTGCGGGAACGGCAAATGTTTGCCTTCATCTTGAGCGCTTCAACCTAAAAGAATTGCCGTATTTGTCCTATTAGAATAGAAATAATTCATGGGGGATTGAAGTTGTACTGAATTTACCACGGCTTTACCCTTAGCTATATGTCGATAATTTAGCCCTCGCTATCGCTCGTAGTAAAATATTTAGAATAAAGGGCCAACCCGTGGTAAAATCAGTATAAATTCAAACCCCATGAATTATTTCTTAGCTTGGAATAGATGCCGTACAATTTAAATCATATTGGCACATTACTGACCAAAGATTTTCGAGTACATTTTTGATTGAAGCATTGAAAATCATACTAGAAAATAACACGTTCTTCTTTAATGCAAAATATTATCTGCAGATATCTTGTACAGCTATGGAAACAAAAGTTGCTCAAACATACGCAACTCTCGTAATTGGATTTCTAGATTATAAAATGTATCAACAAATCGAAAATGAATTCAGTGATACAGCATTTAAAATCTACGTTAAATCAGAGTATATAGAAGCGATTCCCAGACGACTGCTTCATTATTTTGAACAGAAGTAATAATAAAGAGTTTCAAAATCTGATTAACACATTACATCCTTCTATTAAATTTACCATCGAATTTAGCGTATATAGGTTGCTCTTTCTGGATATTTTAATATTAAATAATGTGACAAACGTAACGAAAGATATATTTTATAAGAATTAAGACGGACACCCACCAATTCTTGAATTTGAATTCAAACCAACCTTCGTACATGAAACGAAATATACCGTGTTGTCGTACACTACGTGTATGTACCATTGTATGACGAGTCAACGAAGGAATTGAATTTGAATGAACACAAATATCTAATCCCACCAATAGACTAGGGAATAGGAAAGGCAAAATCAATACCCATGACGGAATTCCGATGCAAAATATTAATTCCAAAAAATGCCATCTTAATGACCTGACAACAGTATCGTAACTATATCCCTTCTGAATAAATAAAAGCAACAGTAGTATACCGGTGTTCAAAAGTCATAAATCGATTTAGAGAAAACAAATCCGGGTTACAAACCAAAATCATAAGAGGAAAACAAAGGAACAACAGGAACACCGAAGTGCAACAAAAACAAACGCCAACACACATAGAAACGAACTATTCGATAACAACTGCCATATTCCTGACTTGGTACAGGACATTTTAAGAAAAGATGGTGGGTTGATCCTGGTTTCATGGCATGCCAAACCTCCCGTTTTATGACAATGTTAAAAAATATCGCTAAAACACTACGTGACAGAAATACAGCACAAACACACGCAAAAACATTCATAACAGAGAAAAGCACAAACAAATAATATAATAGTCGACACAACATACAAACCACAGAACAACAACGAACATATTCTCCATCAACGAAAAACACCACAGGATATCAAAAACAGTGACGCGCTTACGTAACTAACATGCAATCTGGAACTTTATACAATTATTTTCACAGTATTGGTCCAAACAATTTTCATGACAACAATGGCAATTTTATAATTATTTTGACTACAAACGATAAGACATAACAGATTATCCAACCTAAACCATAACAGAAACAACAAAATAAATCCATTAAT